TCTTTCGTGGACTACACGACGGGGTCGAAATTGCCGTTCGCCCTTGACGATGCCCTCGATCTCCGAGGTCACCCACCCACCGTAAAAGTCGCCCGGCTGCGCCTCGACGAGCTCCCCGTCGACGAAACAATCCCAGGGCCCCGCGTAGAGCGAGAGGTAGCCCCGAATCGGCTCGAAACCCCGCGTCGGGCTGTCGTAGGACCAGATGCGGTTCGAGACGGCCTCGTCCGTGCCGGGGGCTGCGATGGTGTAGTAGGTTGCCGCGCCCTTCCACTCGCAGTAGGTGCTCCGCCGGGTCTTGGCGAGATTGACCTTCATCGCGTCGGGTGGGATGTAGTAGGCTGTCAGATATGAGTCTGTGTCTCTACAAAATCTTGAATAGCACGTCAAAGTGGAAAGACGAGGCTAGGGAACGGCGCAACGAACTGGGCGGGTGGTGCGTCTCGAGCACCCAGTAGGCGTCTTTGGTGTCTGCTATCACAGTCCCTTTCCATTTGATTTGAATGTGCCGCGATATCTTCTCGAGGAGGGGCGGCCGGGGAAAGGCCTGTACGTTGAGTCTAGCTCGGGCTGCCATTATTCCGTCTGCCTCGGAGATGGAGGGGGATATATCTTATGCTATGTCAAAAAGTATGAAGCAGGACGTGGATGACAGATGTTTGCGTATTCGGTGGTCTTGGAATTCAACACAGATGCTTGAAAGAGAAATCGAGACTCCTGTTATATATACAGGCTGGGACACTGTATCGCCGACGTGAGCATTGGTGTCTCTGAATCCATGAGATCATTACATGAGGCTCAATCAATGTCTCGTGACCGTCAGGTACAGTATGCTGGACCCTGGAGGGCACACCCGCCTTGAGGAGCAGCCATGCGTGGCTCTCAATGTGGCTGACCAGCCACAAATATGCGTCATACAGTGGCTTGCCCTGTTGGCGGGGTCTAACGGCCTGCCAGACGGCCTGATCAGACTGTCAGGGGACTGCCGCCAGCTGAACGATGCTCCGCCCCCGCGAGGCTCCCACCCGTCATGTGGTGCGAGAACCGGCCGACGAGGCCAAGACTCCCCAGTATCTCTTACGCTCTATCAGACGCAGAACTCCGACCCATCACCACCTCGATTCGATTTCGCCTCTCTCTCGTGAACCCCTTGCGATCTTGAGACTTTGAGCGTTCGACACTTATCCAATCGCGAAGACGGGACCATCACTTTCTCCCAAGCAGTCACTGCCACCTTGTGCCGCACTTCCCCGCCATAAGCGTCTCAACCGCACTACGCCCATCATGAACAACCGACAGCTCGGTCGCGACATGCAGGTCGAGTTCCAGGCCAGGGTACGTCTTCTCCTTTCCGAGTACGCTCGGTGGGCTCGCAAAGCAAGAGTCCCGTATCGCTCGTCACCCAACGCTGACGCCCGCTTGTAGTTCCAAGCGAAGCAGGCCAGGAGAGAGGCCCAAAAGGCCGCCAAGCAGGATCCCATCCTGAAGAAGCAGATCCAGGACGTACGTCTCCAAACTTCCCAGCGGCGCACGCTGTACCCGACGCCCAGGCCACGCGCATGTGCATTGCGACGGCAGCGCTGACAGACACCACCTGCAGCTCCTCAAGAACGGCGAGACCCAAAAGGCCTACCAGAAGGCCAAGATGCTCCTGTCCAAGCAGGCCCTCGCCCAGCAGATGGACCAGATGGCCGACATGGCCGAGCTCTCGGCCGCCCAGATCCAGGCCAACAACTCGATGAACCGCATGACGCACATGATGGGCCAGTCCTCGCGGACCATGTCCGTCGCGCAGAGGAACATGAACCCAGAGAAGGTGAGCCGCCCGCTGCCTGCCCTGCCCACCTGCCGCCGGCCTGCCTACGTATTTTACGCTGCATTGGTGCTCCCACCCGCTGACCATCTTACTCGCAGACCCTCGTCACCCTCGAGCAGTTCAAGCAGCAGAACGAAGAGTACGCCATGTCCAACGGCATCTACCAGGACGCCATCACCCAGTCCACGAGCACCCAGGTCTCCGAGGACGCCGTCCACGAGCTCCTCGGCAAGCTCGCCGACGACGCCGGCGTGCAGCTGAGCCAGCAGCTCGAGAGCGCCACCCCGGCCAAGGAGGAGCCCGCGCGCGAGGAGCCCACCGCCGAGGAGGAGGATGCCCTGCAGCAGAGGCTGCGCGCTCTGCGTGCGTAGATGCCGGCTGTGCCTGAGGATATCTCGGGAGGTTGGAACACACACTCAAGAAGGAATGGGGATCTCTTTTCTGGCGTTACATGGGCACGAGGAACGAATCATGGATTGCAGGCAGACACGACGAGAGGGGAAGCGGAGGGACCTTGAACTACATCTATCGTTAATACCAGACTGACTGAAGCTGGCTTTCTGATGGCCGCCATTACCTCTCCATTTGTGAGGAATGGGCAATATGCGTAAACAAGTTTCTAGACACAGACTTTCACAAACGTGACGGACAAAAGATGAAACCCGAACAATCAATGAAAAGTCTTCAGCATGTATCCATGGTCGATCATCATCATCTAGAATCCAATGCCGCCATCCGCCCCTGTGCCCCTTTTCCAAATAGCCCCTCTACATGTAAAGACTTGCCACGGCCGTAATGTCTCGCTTGATCATCTCCTGCGCCGCCTGCATCTTCTGGTAGAGCTCAGGGTCGCCAATGATCCTAGCCGCGTTCTTGACCTCGCGGCACGTCTCGTCAAGCCGGGTGATGGTCCTGACAATCGTGCCTTCGAGCACATCGGTCAGGTCGGTGATGTTCTTGAAGCTCATGCCACGGGCCCACTCATACACAACCTCCATTAGGCCGAAACGCGGCCGTGACGTAAAATCGTTCGAGTCGTCCGTCGACTGGATGACCTGATGGATCGTCTGGACGTTGTTGATCTTCTCGCTAATGTCGATGATGGTCTGCTTGCCCCTCTCTAGGTTGCCCGTCAACGTCGGCTCGCTGTCCGTCTTCTCCTGGAACACAAACGCCGAAAGGAGCGCGGCGATTTCGGCCGGCTCGTAGTCCGCGAGCACGTTGTCAAGGATGAGCTCCGTGAGCACCAATTCATCGCCCGAATGAATTTCACAAGCCACCTTGCCCTTCAGCAGGATGCGAGCGCTGTCGTCAATGAACTGCAGCTCCTTGAGGACGAGGACGCGCTGCTCGTAGTCGGGAAGCAGCTGAAGGTTCTGGTTGGACAGCGACAGCTGCAACTGGGCGATGTGGTCCTTGATAAGCCACTGGTCGTGACACATGGCGAACTACATAAGTGTTAGCGGCAAAGGAAAAAGGGCCGAAGGCATCATTATCACGTACGTGCTTGACAAAGTTATCGCACTCCAGCGCAGGCGAATGGGAAGCAGTGCGAACAGCCTCCTGACGCTTCTCGATGATCTCCTGGAGTGCAAGATTCCTAATTTTGGCAAGATCGACCTCGTCCCAAAGATCGTCCCCAGCCCCTGCAAAGGGCGTGCAGCCTGCCCTTTGCCTTTTGGTACTCTTCACCTCCCTGGAAGATATCGGGCACGATGCCCTTGGTGGTGTAACGAGTCAGACACTCCACGTCAGCAATAGGAACGTGAAGAGTCTTGACCTGTATCTGCTTCTTGTGCTGTGGAAGAGGAGTGAGGTATTTGCGGAAGGCCGGGATGAAGGGCAGCAGGTCTGTCGAGTCGCGAGTCTCGCGGAGTGTTCGGAGCTCACAGACGTGAAGTGTTGCGCCACTGGAGGAGCCCTTAACACTTGCACCGTCGGCAAGGAGGATGCCCGGGGTGCGAACACCATCCTTGTTGTAGACGATCAGGCGTGCCTGGCTAAACATCTTGCGACCAATAGGCAGCTTGACCAGTGCGGAGTAAAGACTTGTGGTGAGCTCTTTGAAGTCCTGGGATGCCTGATGGCACACGTCCATGACCTTATCCTTGTCACAAGTGTCACAAGAATCACGCTTGACCTTCGCCAAGTCGGCCTCAGAGACCTTGACTGCCTTCTCGTGCTCGGGAAGCAACTGCTGCGTCGCGTGTTCCGAGAAACTGCGTTTGATCATCTCCTCGATCTTGAGGGCCTCCACTCGCAGCAGGTTGAGTATCATGTTATAAGTTAGACGGAATTGAGAGCGCAGCTTAGACGCCTCACCCAGAATCATCTTCTGTAGCTCAACCACGGGAGGTACCTCGTCGGAGGCTCCCGGCGGCACAATGATAACCGAGCCGACGGGGTCGAGACCTCGGCGTCCAGCTCGACCGGCCATCTGCGTGTACTCGCCGGGGAGGAGATTGCGGAACGAGTGTCCATCGTGCTTGCGGTAGCCGGAGAAGACGACAGTCCTCGTAGGCAAGTTGAGACCCATGGCAAAAGTCTCCGTGGCGAAGAGAACCTTGACCAGGGTCTGAGCGAACAGAATCTCGACAACCTCCTTAACAATGGGAAGCAGACCACCATGATGGACAGCGATGCCACGAGATAGAAGCTCACGAAGCCGGATGATTTGTGGTAGTTGACGATCCTCCGGCTTCAGCCGAGCAACTGACTTCTCGATCGTCATGTGGATGGCACTTTTCTCGGATGCTGTACAGAAATCCTGGTTGCTGAGCGCATCAGCATTCTGCTCGCACCGCTTCTTTGAGAAGACGAAGATACAAGCGGGCAGCAGCGTGTTCTTCTTGAGGAACTGGACGAGGTGAACCCAGATGTTCTTGTCTTGAGCGGCAGATGCGAATCCACTTCGTCCACCACGGCCCATGTGCCCTGGTGCATGGCTCGCACGGGGAGGACCACCGCGACCTCTCTGCTGACCGCCGCCTCCGCCTCGCTGACCGCCGCCGCCCCTCTGGCCGCCGCGTTGAGGCCCGCCGCGCTGACCTCCTCGCTGTCCTCCTCTTGGCGGACCACCGCCGCGAGCGTTGCCGCTGCTCTCGATCTGCTTGGGCTTCTCCTTGCCTTGCAGAGCAGCATTGGCGTCCTTCCAGCCCTTTTCGCTGAACTTTTTGTCGGCCGTGACGATCTTGTGGATGTCTTTGCCGGCCCATAAATAGTGTTCCAGGGGTACTGGCCGTTTCGGTGTAGAGATGACATAGATATCCTTCTGCTTCGTTCGGCCCACCCAAGAGGCAAACTCGTGCGTGTTGGGAACAGTAGCTGACAGCAAGATGAGGGACACATGTTCCGGGAGCATGATGATGACTTCCTCCCACACGACGCCACGTTCGAGATCGTTGACATAGTGGACTTCGTCGAAAATGACAAACTCGACGTCTCGGATGAGATCAGCGCCACGGTACAGCATGGAGCGAAGAATCTCAGTCGTCATGATGAGACAGCTGGCTTCAGGGTTAATCTGAACATCGCCCGTGAGAATACCAACCTCGTCGAATTCCTGCCGGAAGTCACGGAATTTCTGGTTACTCAACGCTTTGATGGGCGAAGTGTAGATGGCCTTGGTCATGTGCCGAGCAGCCAAGGCTATGGCGTACTCGGCAACCACCGTCTTGCCTGCCGACGTGTGGGCCGCCACGAAGACAGAGTCACCATTCTCGAGGTGGTAGATGGCCTCCTTTTGGAACGTGTCAAGCTCAAACGGCCAGTCTCTCGCCATGTCCGGCACCAGTTCTCTAAAATTGGTTATATCCCTGTTGATATCGACCATGTGCGCCCATTCGCGTCCAGCCTTTCGCGCGCTGGACGCCGCGAGTGTGCCGTGTGGTTCGAGTGCAGGAAACTCGACCGGCAAGATGGCATCGATGTCTTCGCTGTCGTCCTCCTCAGGAGTGTGAGCGTCGTCTCCATCGGCCCTGGCGGCCGTCTCTTCATTCTGCGCGTCAGGCGCCTGCTCAGGCTCCTCGTCGAGCTCCTGCTCGACAGCCTTGGCCTCGTCCTGGTCATTCTTCTTGCTGGAAAAGTTGATACCGCGGCTGAGACCGGGGGCAACCTCGAGAAGGCTGCCGTCGACACCGAGCTTGATGACCCTCTCGAGCTTGTTCGAGGACCCGGCGTCGACGCCGCTCGTGCGGTGCAGCTGGTCCTCGAGCGCTGCGGCCGACTCGACGCCCTCGAGGCCGCCGGGCGCAAAGGGAAAGAAGCCAGCGGCACCGCGCACGAACTCGGCCCTGCTGGCGGGTTTCCGGGAGAACGAGGTCGAGTTCTTGGCCGTGGCACTGTTGGCAGGGACTGTGACGTTCTTGTAGCCGGTGACCCTGCCCTCGAGGCCGTGACGCTGGAACCGGGTCACGGTGCGAGTCTGCGGCGGAGCAAGCCTGAAGAGTTCCGTGTAGTCGACAGGACAGTCCCAGCGTCTGGTTCACGTGTCAGCGGGGTATCCTTGGTGGCTGGTGCCAATGCGACATACTGCTGGAGCCGGTTGAGCCAGTCATTGGAGAAGGAGGTGGATGGCGAGAGGAAGTCCTTCTCCAGATTGCTTTTGAGCTCTGACGACTGCTGCCTCACACGCTTTCGGGGACGTTGCTCAAATAGAATGTCGTCGATATTGACGTCTTTCTCGTCGAGGCGGAGACCTTGTATGGCCTCGGCCAAGTCTGTCGTCATGGTTGGCGAGACTCTCCAAGCTCAAGATGCTGGATGAGGCTCAGCGGGTTGACGGTCAGAGTGGTATTTGAGCGTTGAGTGTTGATGAGGCTCGAGGCGTGACCTGAGCTCCAAATCGATGATGGGGCCAGCAGGCAAGAGGAGGGGACCAGAGTGAGGTGGTGGGTGGTGCCCTGATCCAATGACGTGGTGTCGCTTCCGACCAGCAGCTCCTCATCAGGGCCTGCTCAGTGGCCGAACGCGCTATCAACCCCACTGTAGCTCTGCTCTACAACCATTTGCTATGCCAGCCTTGCCAGTGCACCCAGCTTCGGATATCTGACCTGAGCCTTAATGTCGATGCGTTGATCCAAACATTGCCATTGCTCTGAGAGAACACCAGACACATGACAGCGCACAGTTCACAAGCGAGAACCTTCCACACGGCGGAAAAAATATAACATAGCAAAGCCATATTCTAATAGACTCAAGCAAAAAGGACTGCAGGTCACTCCCCGCTGCGTGGAAGCCCGGGCCATTCCTCCTGGTATGGGATGTGTGTATATGACATTGCAGCATACAAGTACAATTTTCCGCCCGAGTCCAACGGCGCGTCAACGGCCCATTATCGAAGTAGTGCTGCTCGGATGGTCAGGAAAACCTCAATTCCAAGGCTCCCAAAATACGCCAGCGACTCTTCTTCCCAAGCCATCTACTCCTCTCTTTCTCTTTGCGCCTCTCTCGCCCTCTCCCCATTCCACGTGTATTCACCTCCTTCTTACAGCTTCAGCATCTTGGCGATGTAGTCCTCGATCAGGGGCTCGGTGGGGAAGGACATCTCCTCGAGACCCTGGGCGTAGGGCGTGGGGACCTCAGCGCCGGTGACACGCTGAGCGGGGGCGTGGAGGTAGTCAAAGGCGTACTCCATGGTGAGGGCGAGAATCTCGGAGCCGACGCCGAAGGCGGGGTAGCCGGACTCGACGCACAGCAGGCGGCCCGTCTTCTTGACCGACTTGACAATCGACTCAATGTCGAGGGGCTTGACGGAGCGCAGGTTGATGACCTCGCACTCGGCGCCGTACTTCTTCTTGATGTTCTCGGCGGCGACGAGCGACTGGCCGACGCAGCGGGACAGGGTGACGATGGTCAGGTCAGAGCCGGCACGCTCAATCTTGGCCTTGCCGAAGGGGATGACAAAATCGTCCTTCTGGGCGGCCTCGGACATGGGGAATGTCTGGCCGTACAGCAGCTCGTTCTCGAGAACGACAACGGGGTTGGGGTCGCGGATGCGGCCTTCATGAAGCCTTGCGTCCTCGCGCTCCAAGGGACACACTTGAGCAGGAATGCTGCGTACACGCAGAGTAGTCTGCGAGTGCTGCGCACCGACACGCGGCGAAGCGTTGGGGCGCGAAGTGATGTTGCAGGGCTGAATGCCACCGGACATGTAGAGTGTCTTGGCCGCAGAGTTGACAATCTGGTCAATGGCCTGCATGGCAAAGTTGAAGGTCATGAACTCGCACTATAGAAAGACGTGGTCAGCAGGCGGACAAAAGCAAGTGCGCAATTCGCGGCGCGGACCATCGAACCCGCCACTGTGTTCCAGCTCGAGCCGGCACAACACGCAGGCTGTGTTCGACAGACGGGCTGCCGCATCATGGCAATTCTTCCGGGGTAGAGTCAATGCTTACCACAGGGTGCAGGCCGCTGAGGGCGGCACCAACGGCGAGACCGCAGAAGCCGGACTCCGTGATCGGCGTGTCGATGACCCTCTTGTCGCCGAAGCGGTCCAGGAGGCCCTTGGTGACCTTGTAGGCGCCGTTGTACTGTGCGACCTCCTCTCCGAGGACGAAGACCTTCTCGTTGGACTCGAGCTCCTCCGCGAGGGCCTCGTTGAGGGCCTCACGGACAGTGTAGTCCTTGCTGCCCTTGGCGTCGGCATACGTCCTCGTCTGGGCGGCGAAAGAGGGGAATCGAGCGGCGGCAGAGAGCTGGAAGGCAGAGGGACGAAGGGCGGCGGCCCTCGTAGAGGCGGCCAGGCGGGTGGCGGGACGGAGAAGTCGTGACATCTTGAATCGAGCTTCGGGGGGGTTGTGTGGTTGCTGTGCGAATTGACTTTAGCGGCAGCCGCGGAATCTCGAGGGCAAGCACGAGATGGGAAGGAAGATGATGCGAATGATGGAATTGAAAGCCCCAAGGGTGGAACACAGACACCGGCCGACGACGAGAGGATGAAAGGTCCAAAGGGGGGTGGAGGGGGTCGGGTTGGATTGCGGAAGGGTAGAGGTCGAGACGAGAATGGAGCTGTCGAGGGAATTTCGGAGGCGGTCCTTCTCGCAGCGAGAGCAGCTTTTTTTGCTTAGCTTTCCGGGTCGTCCCCAACTTTTTCGACGCAGCGACAGTCCGTTGAATTGCAGCGGACCTCTCAGCGCCTGCACGCACCAGCTTCCAGCGCCTGGGCTGGCTTCGTTGGGGGAGACAGGGAGGCCGGGGGCAGCGATCTAGTCCTAATGAAGCAAGGCGCTATCCGATTCCCATCGTCTTATGTAAGGCGGGACACGGGCAATCCAACCGTCGACACCCGTTTGTCTCCGATTGCGCCCGTCGGTCTCCGCTCACTGTGTCAACATTGGCTGCCCTGGTTGGCCTGCCATGCACTCCTGCGCCCCCCTGAGCACAGCATCAGCAGCAAGTGCCTCACTACAGATACTGTTCTGGTGTGCATGTATGACACGAATGGGACGTGATCAGGACGATTGAAATAAACACAACTGTTCAACCATGTATTGTCGAATCTATGATACAATGAAAAAATAGTCCAGAACCCCCTCTTTTTCTTTTGCGAGGCAGACGTGTGGGTTGGACATGAGATTAAACCATATAGTCAAGTGCGCCGAGCCTCTCGCTCACGCTGCTGCCCCTCATGTTTAATGCCACTTCCTTATGCATTATCATCATAAAAAAAAGCCCCAACTCCTGCTCCTTCGCTCGCATGGCGGTGAGCTGATTTAGTTCTCAGGCTTCTTCGCAACCATGAGGTACATAGGCGTGAAGAGGTGCTTCTTGCCACCAGCGGCCAGGCAGTCGGCTGCCAGGCCCAGGCTGTCCGCCGTCTTCTTGGTGCCAGCAGGCGCCAGCTTGATCATCTCGAGCAAGCCAGCCGTGTTGTGCGCAATGAAGCGACCCCACTTGGTCATGCGAGCAATCGTGAAGAAGTCAAAGGCATACTGGAGGTAGGACAGGTCGCCGGCCATGGGCCACCACCAGGGGTACTCATCGTCGCCCGCCGCGAGATCCTCGTTCATGATCATCTCGAAACCAGCCGCCTTCATGGCAGCGAGGGCCTCATCGACCTTGCACATGTTGGCGATGCCGTCGCCCTGCTCAATGCCGAGACGGATCTCGCGGTGCTCGAGGTTGTCATTGTCGTACTCATCAGTCATGAGCCACTCGTACACGCCAAAGACACCGCCAGGCTTCAGGACACGGAAGATCTCGCTGTAGATGCCCTCGAGAGTAGGGGCGTGCACCGTCGCCTCAATGGCGTAAACGGCGTCGAAAGAGTTGTCAGGAAACGACATTTGCTGAAAAAGAGACGACGTTAGCACCGACTGAAGAGGAAATGAAGTAAGAATGAAATCTCGGCTTACCATGAAGTCACCCTTGACAAAGTCGAGCTGGCCGGAAAGGCCCTCCTTCGCGGCGTAGTGCGTGGCGCGGTCAATCTGGTAGTCGTTGTTGTTCAGGCCGGTAATGTGAGCGCCAGTGAATTTGGCAATCTCACGAGCAGGGCCACCAACACCGCATCCGACGTCGAGAACCTTCATGCCGCGCTTAATGTTGATGCAGTGAGCGAGGTAGTGCTCGTGACGGGCGATGGCCTGGTAGAAAGGCTCGCCCTTGGTGAAGCGGCAGAAGTGGAAGGACTGGCCCCAGCCGTACTCGTACAGGTCGGTCGCCAGGTTGTAGTAGCTGCGCGGAAACAAGTGTCAGACGGTTGCTGGCATGTGCACATGAACAGGCGAATACTCACTGTCTTGTCAGAGTCGCGTACTCGGCTTGACGGGCCTTTCTTCTTGTTAGTCTTTTGAACTGCGCCTCAGGGGTCCGAGGTCTTGACATACGGCCCTCTGCTCAGGGGTCTCGTCCTTGGCCGCCTGGTTGTCCCAGTGCTTGAAGTACTCGTCGACAGCGGCCTTCTTCGCGTCGCTGCCCTTGCTGAACATGGCGGCGATACCGCCCTTGGCCTGCGCAGACTTGCCGTGGAGCGCCTTGTTGAAGTCGGCATCGCGCTTGTGGTCCTCGCGCTCGAGGTTGTCAATAGTGGAAGGGGCCATGTTGAAGGTGGGGGGGGTATCGGTGAAAGCGGCTTGCAGTGGCAAGTGTGTTGAACTAGAAGGAGACAAGAAGAAATTGAGACGCGGCTTGAATGGAGGTGGAAGAGGGGCAAAGGGGTAGATGGCGTGGTGAACCTTATGAAGGGACAGAGCTTTTATTTGAGATTAATGCTCTAGTACTAGGCGGCGTACTCAAATTTCGGGGAGCCGACTCTCAGGAGCCAAACGGGAAAATGTTCCCACCCGCAGCCAATCTGCCAATCTGGCAGTGGTATGTACATGAAGGCCGTGATTGGCCGATTGCGGGGCGCGCCTGATCGCTTGGGCAGGCGGTGAGGAGACCGCCTGTTCGGACAACGAAAAGGGGTCCTGGCACTCTACCAACGCGAATACGAATTCGAATGGGGCCCTTGGGCTTGGGTATTGGTTGCATGTGATGATTGTGGCTGGCCGCGACGGCGCGCGCGAGGAAACACTTCTGAGTCAGCAAGATTGGATGCGCTCTCACGTGCTCAACACTGATTAGATAGCGATCTGCAGCAGCTTGAGGGGCGATTTCAGTAAGGCTGATCCAAGAATTTCCAATCCGCATCAGGCTGCCTCACTTCACCAGCCACCCCAGTGACCTCACTCACTCATGCTGGTCGCATCACACGCCACGACAGTACCCGAACACCCGCGCGCACCTTCATCCTACCGTTTCACCTCTTCATAACCGTTGAACACATACGCACGCCAACGACATGCCGCCGCAAATCAAGCAGGACCTCAACCGCTCTGGTTGGGAGTCTACTGACTTTCCGTCCGTATGCGAAAGCTGCCTTCCCGACAACCCATATGTTAAGATGCTGAAGGAAGACTACGGCGCCGAGTGCAAACTTGTAGGTCAATATGCTGTCTTGGCCCTGCTATCCTATTTACTGACCCTGCCACCGCAGTGTACGAGGCCCTTTACCGTCTTCAGCTGGAGCGCCGACCGCGCCCATGGTCGCAAAAAGAGGACGAACATCTGCTTGACGTGCGCACGACTCAAGAACTGCTGCCAGACATGCATGCTCGATCTCTCTTTCGGCCTTCCAATCGTCGTCCGAGACGCCGCCCTGAAAATGGTGGCACCAGGTCCCTCCTCCGACATCAACAGGGAGTACTTTGCGCAAAATAACGAGCAAGCAATCGAAGAGGGCCGCGCTGGCGTCGAAGAGTATGAGAAGACCGACGAAAAGGCGCGCGAGCTCCTGCGCCGACTAGCGACAAGCAAGCCGTACTTCAGGAAGGGCAAGGCCATCGAGGGTGCGGACACCGAGGGCCAAGGGGGGTCATCTAGAGGAGGAGACCCTGCGGTAGGTGCCGGCGTTGGCGGTGCTGGTCCGATCCGCACCAGGGACTCGAGAGCCGCGGCTGCGGCAGGTGCCCGGCCTGGAGGCAGAGCGAAACAGGCGTTTCCCAGTGCTGCGCAGCTGCCCCCCCGGCCCTCAGGACTGGATGCCTCCTCAAGATAAGAACATCATGTCGCTGTTCGTCACGGGTGTCGAGGACGACTTGCCAGAACACAAGATCAGGGAATTCTTCAAGGCACATGGCAAGATCAAGAGTCTGATCTGCTCACACATGTCGCATTGCGCCTTCGTCAACTACGAAACGCGCGAGGGTGCCGAGAGGCTGCAGCAGAGTGTAAGGGGCGCGCCGTCATAGCAGGTTGCCCGCTCAGGGTGCGCTGGGGTGTGCCCAAGGCATCGCACCATGGACAAGGAGCAGCGTGGACAGATGCTCAGGGATGGTCGCCAGATACAGGGAGGGGCGCGAAAGGGAGGGCAGCGGGGTGGCCAGAAGCAGCTTACGGGCGGCGGAGGCGCAGACGAGGGCGAGGGCAGCCACGCAGCAATCGCGGCGCCTCCTCCCGGAGCCGACGACGGGCCCCAGTATGCCAGTCTGGCGGGCGAGTAATCAGATGGTACAAAAATTGTAATTAACCGGTCACGGCGGAGTTTGGAGTTTGAGCGCAGCATCGATGGCCAGGATTAGGCCACGTAGGGTCGGCTTCATGGCAGCAAGTGAGCTGAGAATTCATGGTATCGTTTTACAGGGTATCATCATCTGTTGTACAGCAGAACGGGAACCGAGTCCCTCCCTTTTTCTTCGCAGACTACCTTTCAGCCTTGGCAGCAGCCTCCGGAAGACTTGCCCTGCCCTGCAGTCTTGATCGAGTCGTTATCGCCCCTCTCTGTGTCCTTGTGAATCCGAAGCTCTGTGGTGTCGTCAGCATCAGCACAACCAGCAAACCATGCACCCGTTACTCACTGAAGCTGTCGTTGCCCTGCGGTTGACCCTGTACAAGGTTGTGCCTAAGGAATTTGGCCACCTCCTCGGCCTTCTCAATCATCGGCTGGATCGTGGGGTCGTTGGCGGGAAGCGTCGACTTCTCGCGGAAGTTGTCGCGGATCTGCTGCCGGGCTGCAGCGAGCACAGGAGCATCGCCTATGGTCAAATAGTCAGCAGGCGCCCCGCGAACTGTCCAATGGTTTGGTTCGTACCTTGGAAGGCAATGTTGGCGGCCCGCCACAGATTCCGATACGCTACGAGGGCCGTCATGTCTGCGGTTTGGTCTGGACAGAAAGGTTCATAAACTTTTCGAAACTGCTGGTACAACCCAGGTAGTAGACAGCCCGTGCCGCGACCAAGACGATATGGTAAGCAATCACGTGATCCTACTGGGTACTCTGTGGAAAGGATTGATGATGCAGCAGATAACACCTGCGGCTCTAGGATATTGATTCGTCCAAGGAGTTTCCCATGTAACACATCATAGAAGCTGTGCTCGATAAAAGTCAATCCACAGAACTGAATACACAAACGATATCACAGTAGTTGCAGCGTACTAACAGTGAGCACAAGGCCTTGTCACTAGGGTACATATTTCTAATGATTTGGAAGGTTTTCCAATGGTCGGTTAGCTCAGTTGGTTAGAGCGTGGTACTAATAATGCCAAGGTCATGAGTTCGACCCTCATACTGACCATTTCCTTTTGCCAGATCTCGATTGTGACCTCTATCTTTTGCTTGATATTATCGCAAAAATATGCTCTGACCAGAACGACAGGCTATTTTCATCTTAGGAGTGTATTAGATAGAGGGATGCGAGAGGCTCCAGGTACTACACATGTCGTTACTTTATGGCATGCAGGTGTCTTTGGTCATTTAGTCGACTGTGATTCAACAATAGTTGGATTCCACATGTTTGTGGGCGTCAAAAGCATCACTAGAAACTCATCAGGACCGTGTAGTATCTCATTCATCAAAAACCCATGTAACGATTCCAACCGAGCGCCTTCTTCGCATCACCGTGATGACCGCAATATGCACTTAGGCAGCCTGTGCCTTTAACGGGTGTCCCGCTCGACACCCCACTAAAATTTTCGAGAGGAAAACTTCCCCAAGCTCTGGATGGGAGGAGCCCTTCCCCGACCCAACCGCCAACCCACCACAACCATCATCCACAATGGCTACCGCAACTGTCGTCGCGCAGCCGCTGCCGGCCCTCGCCGAGGGCTGGACGGCTGAGAAGGACTTCCAGGCCATCGGCCAGCTGTCCGCCGCCACCCAGCGCACCATCGAGCCCGTCGGCCCTCACTTCCTGGCCCACGCCCGCCGCGCCCGCCACAAGCGTACGTTCTCTGAGGATGATCGCATCCAGGCTCAGGAGGCCGTCAAGAACGTCGAGTCTGAGGATCTCGGTGAGATCAGCGAGGCCGAGGACCCCATGGATCTCGCCCGCGACGCCAAGGACTGGAAGGTATGTCGTTATCGCGAGCAACGTCGGAAACTAACGAAAAAGAGTGCATATGCTGACATGGTGGACTACAGAACCAGGACCACTACCAGGTTCTCGGCCTTTCCAAGTACCGCTGGAAGGCCACAGAGGACCAGATCAAGCGTGCCCACCGCAAGAAGGTTCTCAAGCACCACCCCGACAAGAAGGCTGCGGCCGGTATCCAGGACGACGACAACTTCTTCAAGTGCCTTCAGAAGGCCAACGAGGTGCTGATGGACCCCATTAAGCGCCGCCAGTTCGACTCCGTCGACGAGAAGGCCGAGGTCGACCCCCCCACGAAGAAGCAGGTCGCCAAGGGCAACTACTACAAGCTGTGGAGCAACGTCTTCAAGGCCGAGGGTCGCTTCTCCAAGGAGCAGCCTGTGCCCACGTTCGGTGGCGAGAAGGCTACCCAAGAGGAGGTCGAGACTTTCTACAACTTCTGGTACAGCTTTGACAGCTGGCGCACGTTTGAGTACCTCGACGAGGATGTGCCTGACGACAACGAGAACCGTGACCAGAAGCGTCACGTGGAGCGCAAGAACGCCAACGCGCGCAAGAAGAAGAAGGTCGAGGACAACGCCCGCCTCCGCAAGCTGCTTGACGACGCTTCGGCTGGTGACGAGCGCATCAAGCGCTTCCGCCAGGAAGCCAACGCGGCCAAGAACAAGAAGAAGGCCGACAAGGAGGCTGCCGAGAAGAAGGCCATCGAGGACGCCAAGGCGAAGAAGGACGCCGAGGAGCAGGCTGTTCGTGATGCTGAGGCTGCTGCCAAGGCTGACCGTGACTCGGCCAAGAAGAACAAGGAGGCGGCCAAGAACGCTGTCAAGAAGAACAAGCGTATCCTCAAGGGATCTGTCAAGGACGCCAACTACTTCGCGTCCGGCGAGCCCTCGGCTACCGATGTCGACCTTGTCCTTGGCGACGTTGACCTTGTCCAGGGCAAGATTGACGCTGACGAGATGGCTGCACTCGCGGGCAAGCTCAACGGTCTTACTGTCGCCGGTGAGATCAAGGGCGTGTGGAGTGCCGAGGTCAAGCGTCTTGTCGACGCTGGCAAGCTGAAGGAGGGTGAGGCGAAGACCCTTGTTTAAAGGGACGATACTTAATGAGTGACGTTAGAGGGGCTCATGAAGGGATCGACTTTAAGCGTGAGATGGACAAACTTTGTTGCTTAGCGAGGCCAGTAGCACCCATAGACGCTGCAGACATGTATAGACGATGAGGTTCTACTCCCGTGCGATCCATGTGTGTCTCGAAATCCCATTCGGTACCACCACGAGACACGAACACATGGGGTTCCGGCCTGGTTAGTGTTAAAAGAAAAGGATTGAACCCTAATTTGAGTAAGACTATCCTCCAAGCCTGCTAGAAGTCGCTAGGTTGAAATGTGAGATAGGGGTAAAGCATTGAGTAACGTTCGTGTACAATATGTTGTGTCAGCACTGCGCTGGGAGGGTTCATGACAAGAATTGCACACATCACCTCTCCGCCCTTTTCCAAAATACGTGAAACGGTTTCTGCCCCAGCTTGTTGCTTGAGCTGGATGTCCTCGCCTTTGTGTATGATCCACTCGGTTCAGATGGACAGCCCGCTCTGAGTCTCTTAGCTGGACCTTGGTGTGGTTAAGGGAGGACATGCCAGTAGGGTTTCGCTGGTATACCTATGTTTGCCATGGTTAAAGGGCCATCAGGGGAAGGGCGGCTTCTTTCATGCGCCTGCCCGATATCAGAATGCGTGCTGGCCGAGCAAAACACTCGCCTGCCGTTTCACAAGGTAACCGGCACCTGCACTTGCACTTGCACCAGCATCCGGACAGGTGGCTGTACCTGCCTCTTCCTGAGGTCATACTCGACCCCCAGTCAGGACCAGGCATCTTGTACCGCCTGTCCTTCTTTGAAGTCAACCAGTCATTCCTCAGATCCTGCCTGGCCCCCTGGTGCCATCGCACATTCTTGTTGCTGGATACCCTGTGTCGGATTCGAGCCGTCGGCTCCAAGTTATCTGGCATACAGATCAAGAGGAATACTAAGGACCTCTCGTTTCCTTGAACACTCAACACTACCGTACCGATGCTCCGACATGATATTTCAACCGCCGTACATTCACTAAGCGCCCTTGCTAGTCCTACTTCATGAGTCTCCCATTCTTCAACGTGCGCAATCAGGAAAGAAAAGACCTTTCGACAACCGTTGACACCCACAAATAAGTAGCACGGCATCCGCGGCTGCCAACCTCAAGGCAGTCTCTCCACGGTCTTTCCAAGATGGCAGCCAACGATTCCCTGCAGAACACGTCTGTCCAAGATTCAGACCAGGAGCAGAGACAGCAGTTAAACCAGCAAAGCCAACGCGAAAGTGGCACTGACTGGGCCGAGTACGATGCCAACGCTGCACCTCAGATTACCGTTGAACAGGCCCCCGAGGTCGTTCCTGGTCAGAGTTTGAAGGGCTTAGATGGTGCTGTCGATGTTGAAGCTGATATCCGCCCTCCTTCAGCCTCCGAAAACAAACCCCCGGTTCCGGAGCACCTGCCCTGGAAGACACGTATTCTCAACAGTCGTCTCTGCTCATGGAAGCTTCTGCTTCCTCTCGTCGTCCTCTTACTTGTGGCCATTATCGTTCCGGTCGTTGTATCGCAAAGGCGTGGCGATTCTCGCTCGATAGATGATGGCATACCTACCGGGGAGACCTCCTTCACCGCCACGCAAGTTTCGCGGACGGACACGTCGTCAAGTCCGTTAGCCTCCAGCACGTCTGCCTCCAGCCCAGTGAGTCCCACTACCAGCCTGGATCTTTCAAACATGAGCAGTTCTAGTGCCCATGCTGACGCGCTGGGGAATCAGATTGCCGAATGCAGGCCATCCGACTTCAGAACCGATGTCAACTGGATAGGGATTGCTGGCGAGGTCGGATGGAAGTTCAAACTCAGCGACGCCGATGATGCCGAGGACTGCTGTAAGCAGTGCTACCAGTCCACCAAAGAAGGCTGCAACGGGTGGCTGTTCATGCCAGGCAATGGGGACGAGTCCAGTGTGGTGCCGCCTTGCAACATCATTTATGGATACCGAGGCCCTGATGAGGACGATGAGTGTCCCACCGGCAAGCCGGACATTGTCTTTGCGGGTGCCAGTGATAGCGAGGAGAACTTTGGGGGCGGCGGGCCTTGTGCTGGAGCCGTCAGGGGACGTCGTTAGCGAGGCACTTCGAGCCGGCGCGGGCTGCCGTTGTCCACCAAGGTACCATCCTGAACTTATGGCAGGGTGGTGAAAAGAGGCTTGCCAGGGGTTGGTTCAGACAGATGACAGGCGTTGCGTTGGTTATGGGACGGCAGCGCACAGGGACTGCTGCGATGAAGCACAACCGTGGCAAGAAACCGACATCAACTGCTTGCACCTCCTACGGTTAAAGCGAAAAGAAAGGCACCAGCGCTGCATGTAATTTCATAGATACGGACGTTCGAGTCCTCGTCTTAAAGCGGTCACTTGAATACACTACATTTGATCTCAGTGTGCTTGCTCTTCGTGCTAGGAACATGTACAAACGTGGTATATTAGACGGTGGAAATGCCGCCATATGCTGATACAAATTACAATCGCGATCTCACATCTGTTGGTACAAGCAGCCCCCTCTATGCAAGGACACACTATCTCGACAACTTCTCGTCTGTACTGTATCACACCCAACATACTCCCTACCAAGGCAACACATCATAGATACCGTCATACACCTTACCGACCCAGCCATGCGTCAACCCTCCACGGGCAACGACGCCAAGCCCGCCAGCAGCCCACAGGGCGGCAACAGCAACGACAGCCCCCTGCACCCCCCACCAGGCCCTGCGCCTCCTGCGCCGGACGCTCTTGTCCTCGACGCGCGGGCCGGCGCCGCGCCAGCCCATGGCCACGGGCGCGATCCCGGCCCAGCGCGCGGCGCCCCACACGGTGTGGCCAGCCGTCACCGCAATGAGGGCGACGTAGGCGGGTCCAGGAAACGACGGGGTGGCGGGGCGAACCCGGGGGGGCCAAACTAAGGCAAAGGTTGGAGCTGTCGGCCTCGACATAAGAGGGGGCAGCAGGCGGGTTGACGCATGCGTGGGGCGCCACCAGGCCGGCGAGGACGTAGCCTGACGTGGCGATTCAGCTGAGGGGGCGGGCAGATGCGCAGAGCCTGCGGCTTGCCGCGGGGGTTGCTGACGTGGTGGTGGCTGTGGCTGTGGGTGTTGCTGCTGCCGCCGCTGCTGCTGCCGTGCCGCGAGGGCGAGTTTGTGCGCGAGCGGGCGAGGGCGTACATGCCCGGCGTGCTGCCGCCGTAGCGCGCGAGGTTCTGGGAGCGGCGGATCAGGCGCAGGGCGAGGCCCGAGGCGATGTGGGCGGCTATGGGCAGGGTGACGAGGAGGGGCTCTGTGAGGGCGGTCTGGTAGAGCTCGCGGGCCTGGAGGAGGTAGGTCTCGGAGGCGGGGACGGAACGAGTGATGAGAGGGATCAGGGAGGTGTTGGCGAGGTGGATGGTCGTGAAGACGGGGATCAAGTAGGACGAGTATTTCTGGATGCGGGTGACTGGGGGGTCGTTAGCATCAAAGTGGCGGAGGGATTCAAGGCGCAAAGGCTAGGTCCATACGGTAGTAAATGGAGTTGTGCGAAGCATGGCTAGTGCTACGGCTGAGGCCGAGAGGCGTTGGTGAGCCAGCTGTCGTGGGTTTTGTGTGCTCGGCATCGTCTTCAGGTGAGAACTGGAGATGCTTCTCGTCTTCGGCGTAAGGAGACTCTATGGGTGCTGGGTCGAGCTGGAGCAGAGACACGAGGGTCTCCTGCGACGCCTGCTCGTGGAGAGCGTACGCCATTGCGTGTGATGGCCTGGTGTCAGTCTCGGGCTGCTGTCGACAGCGGCTGGAGAGAGCATGCGACGGACAATAATTCGATGTGGTTGATGGATCGCGTCGCATCTGACATTCGCCAGGCGTGCTATAGGCTCAGCGGTGAGCTGCGACCCACTTCGAGGTGTCGAGGCCGATGACGTCGAGCAGAGCCCCTGTGCCTGGCTTTGAGGCCTGTGGAAACCCTGGGTCGCCCCTAGCCAAGCCCCCGAGGCTTCTGGAGCCCCTATAAGCACGCTGATGTTCGGGCACTGCATCGAACACTAGGCAGCCTCAACCTCAGTCCCTTTACGACATTTGAAATCATTCTCCATGAAGGGCTGCAGCAGACGACCTACCACCTCATCGGCAAGTTTTCACGAGGCGACTGTTAGAATACTTTGTTTCCATGCACGTCTTCCAAAACTTCAGTCAATGGTTTTTGTCACGGGGGAACTGCACACGAATTGTGCTGCTTCATGATATACAACTACTAGTTACCTATGGGCTCTCTACCAATAATTTCCGTCGGCTGATACAATAACAACGGTGACCCAGATAGGCTGAAGCTAGAGCTGCTCAGACTTTATACTTGATCGATCAGACATGGCTTGACATGCCAACTTTCCTTCAATCAAGGATGGCCTAATGCAGACTTGAGCTCCTAGCCTCCTGGCTGTGTTCGACTGCTGTAGCAAAGCACATTCCTTGCCACAGACTCTCCAGACAACTATTCGAATTGTCAAGAAGCCACTCAAGGTCGGCCTTGAAACAGAGGGGCTCAGTTAAAGCGGCAAAGACGCTAGCCCCATCTGTCCATCGTCACAAGCAGCCGCCGTCCAAAAGATCCAAAGAAGTGCCCGTCAGAGCTATTTGGCCTGTCCAAAATCTCCGGTTCGCATTGTCTACCTAGGTCGTTCTGCGTTGGTCGCGTCAAGGCAGAGCGACTGCCAGCCTGCTGCCTAGCTCGAGTCCCTCTGTTTGCCGCCTTGGTCTCGTCGTGACCGACAGCTTGCGTGGCCTTCCATCGCAACCCATCGCCGAAGGTCCCGAATCCGTACTATTTTCAATTCTTGCAAAAGGGACAACGCCCCGAGACGACCAAGTCATGGACGTCGATCCGTCTACGGGGCCCGAGGACCCGAATCTTCGCAGAGCGGTATGTCTCTGAATCAGCCGGGCCATGGCGTGCCGTGTTCCGCCAACCCCGCCGGCGGCCGTCCACGGACCGGCTTTTTTGCCTGTTATGTGTTGTGACAGTTGGCTAACGCGGCGTGGATTGAAATAGTGTGATCAATGTAGGATACGTAAAGTAAGGTCCCCGTCATATCCCCTCGCACTTTTTTTCTTTATGCACCCTGGCCAGCTTGTCACTGTCACGACCAACACCTCGCCATCTGACTTGATGTGCACGCAAGCATGAGGCTGATGAGAGGCAGATTCGCTGTGACAAGGGCACGCCATGCTCCAACTGCCGGACGGCTCTGCGGTCATGTAGCTCCATCGGCGTTACACATAAACCCAGAGAGCAACGGCAGCGTGTGCTCATCTCTCATCAATAGTCAGTCCACCTTTCGAGTTTTACACAAGTTTCATTTCATCTCGCCATCCCGCCGGTACTCATTCATGCATCCTAATCTTGACACGCCGCTCTAGTGAGAGGAAAATCGACCTCATCGAGGAGAGGCTGTCCGGTATCGAGGACGCCCTACGCACAATCGCAAACAATGGTCTCGCCTCCGAGACCAACCACTCGAGGCGCACCGCGACAACGACACCGGGCGTTCCAGCGTCGGCTCCGCTGGGCGATGCTCAAGCCTTCGTGCACGAAGAGCCGGACGACGACGACGACGAGACAGAAGCCTTCGAGGGTGACCTCTCGCTGACGGCGCACACTGTCTTCGCCCGCGACTTTCTTGAGAACGCCGTTCAGAGGACCTCCCTGAGCGACGTGACGCCCAACATGCAGTCCGCCCTGCTGACCCTGCGCCAGATGGTCTCGATGCAGAACGAGTCGTCGTCCATCCGCGAGCTCAAGTTCCCCAACCAGCAACCCCTGCCGCCCGGCGGTCTACCAGAGCTGCCGATGCCCCCCATGGCCGCCGTCGTGTCGCTGCTGAAGCACCAGAAAGGTCTGTTCGCCCCGTCTCGGCACCCTGCGTGTACTCCGAGGCCTTCAGAGCCGGAAAGAAAAGTCAGCGCTAAAACGTCATGGTAGCGGCCCCGCCCAGCATCTTCGCCATAGCCTGCTCCTTCCTCGACATCGACGATCTCTCGGAGCTCTGCCGCAAGGTCTATTTCTGCACCGACACCTTTTCTCACCCGTGCTTCGTCATCGTCGTAGGCTCCTTGTACTACCTCTTCATGGAGCAGAGCTTCCTGGCCAAGGACAACGCGTCGAGGGCTGAGTTTCAGCTGTACCAGCGCATGTGCCAGGTGAATCTCGAGACCGCCCTCGCAAGCCTGCCGCTCATGCTGCCCGCCAAGACCGAGAGCATCGAGGCCCTGCTCGTTGCCGTGAGTGCTATTCCTCTGAGAGAGAGAGAGAGAGAGAGAGAGAGAGAAACACGTCCGATTTCGTATGCCGAAAGACGCTGACGTTCTGGCAGACCCTGTACTCTATAGACGTGTCCAAGACGTCGCTCGCGTGGCACTTTGTCTCGACGGCGGCGACCTTGTGCCAGACGCTGGGCTACCACCGGGCGTCCCGCGTCAAGCCCGATCCCCACACCAGCGGCAAGGACGTCAAGACGCTGCTCTTCTGGCACACGTACATGCTCGACAAGAGCCTCGCGCTGCGCACGGGGCGGTCGTCAGCCATCCAGGACTGGGACATAACGCTGCCGCGGACGGTCGACAGCACCATGGTGGAGGACCCGTGGGGCGCCATCATCACGACGTGGATCCGCGAATCAGAGATGCATCACCGTGTCTACGAGCACCTCTACAGCCCGACCGCCCTTGCCCGACCACGGCACGAGCGCATCGAGGCCGCACGCCGCCTCGAGGCTGACCAGAAGGACATCATGGCGGCGGCGTCGCAGGCGCGCGAGCAGGCCATGTTCGGGTTCAAGGCCCTCAACGCCTCGGCCCTCATCGACATTCACCTGCGCGGCGACGAGCTGACACACCAGTCCACGTTGACGCTGATCTACCGCGCCATTCCCGCGCCCGAGGGCTCGCCCAGCCGCTTCACGCAGGAGTGCATTGAGACGGCTCGGTTCGCCATGCAGATCCACCACGAGTGCATGGCGCAGCTTGACGAGGCGCAGCACATGAAGGCTGTCTATGTGCACTGGTATGTCATGATAGCCTCGGTACCACGATTGGCGTGGTCCACGCTCTCGCGGCTTGCATCGAGTGACCAATTTCCAAACTGAACCGAGCTAACACGCCGCAGGGCCATCCTCCTGACACCCTTTGCACCCTTCTTCGTACTCTTCTGCCACGTCATCGAAACCTCCTCGGCCGAAGATCTCAAGCGGCTCTATGAGTTTGCCGACTCGCTCGGGGGCCCGTCGCCCATTTCGGAACCGGTGCAGAAGCTGCATCGGCTCTGCCAGGCGCTGTACAACGTGGCCCTGACCTATGTTGAAGCCAAGGCGCAGCAGCCCGCTGCCAATCAGGCGCCCATCAACGAGGAGTTTGACATGTACCTGAGCGCGCTGGGCTTCCCTCCCAACGAACTGCTGGCGCCGGGCACCGGAGTCGAGGCCGGCGCGGCGGCGCAGACAGCGGTACAGTCGGAGCAGCTGGCTAACTGGTTCTCTGGCAACCAACAGATGATGGGCTTGCTGGAAGAGGATCTCTCGCAGTTCGGGCCAACGGGGTGGATCGAGTAAATGGGTTGGTTTTGCGATGTGCTCCGGTAGATGAGAGCGTCCATCCTGGTTGGATTTGTATCCTGAAAAGGGACGTGGCGAGCCACATTACACTGTCAATCGGAGTGAAGCAAAGCGGTTGCTCAGTCGGTGGGATATCGCGGGTCATAGTGGTCGTAATCTTCGTCGTCGGTATCGCTCTCCAGCAGGCCGGGTCTCTCTTCGGCCAACCCCTTGTCCTCAACTGATGGTAGAGGCGGCCTCACAACCTCAGTCTTGGAGGCTTCCGCGGCAGCAGGGGCGGAAGGTGTCTCGGCCGCTGGCGCGAATGCTGACTTGAAGCCCGACTTCTTGAAGCCGCCCTTCTTGAAGCCACCACCACCGCCGCCACCGCCGCCACCGCCGCCACCGGGGGCAGCGCCACCGGCCGGCGTCTTGATGGCAATAATGCCATCAGCCTTGGCTTCGGCCTTGCGAGCGCGAGCGCCGCATTGGGGTCGCGAACCATGGCTTTCATGTCCTTCAGGCGCTGCTTGTGACTGTGGTCGTAGCTCGAGAAGTGGGCTTCGTAGTCATTCATGCGTGAGTAGCCCTTGGAGCAAATGCTGCAGTAGAATGACTGCAAAG